AGGGGAAGGAGGAAGATATGCTGTGACTTCCCCTTTATCACAAGTCTCAATAATTTTAACAACTTTAACAACCTTGTCATAAAATGTAGCAAACAATCTCTTCCTCCATATCTCATCCCTTATCTTTTGAACAGATCCAGTTCTGGTCAGCAATAGTCATACGGGTAACCAGACATAACACAATTTATCAAAGATATTTCAAAAAAGGAAAATACTTTTTTTTTAAAAAAAAAAGGACAGGCTGGGATTATCAGGAAAAGTATAATAAAATTGGAATAAGTAGGTTATGTCAACTTAAATAATTGCTTTCAGAATAATTTCATAAGGTACAGTGATAAAATAGCCTTTTATGTTGAAGGTTTATTTAAAATTAAGTTCAGCTATGTTCATTGAGATATATCCCTTTGTAAGAATGCACAAATTAAGTATTTATGACCACTATAGATCTTTTTTTTTTTACAAATAATTTGTTATACTTTTTATCTACTTTATTTATTAAATTTGTATGCTGCCCATCTCTCCTATAAGGTGACTCTAGGAAACTCTATTTTTTAAATTTAGAATGGACATAAAGACTTTTTCATTTTACCTAAATCCTGTTGTGGTTACAGTAAAACCTTTATGACCGGCTTCACACACCACTGTAACCCATTGGAAATTATGTAAATTATTTGGGATTGATTTCTTAGAAACAGTGGTTGCAGCTCAGAACTCTGTTTGACACTGTATCTATCAAGAAGACAATGGGAAACTGAAGAAATTGGGGATGCTTTAAAAAACGATTTGGAGGAAGTGTTTCAGAACTCACATAGGTTCTTTCACAACAGTTGTGCGAAACAAAGTGCTGCTACTTTAACAACCCTAAGTACTGACTCCTTAAAGCAGCAGCTTTCTTTTTCACTTTCACAATGAAAGCTGAGAAAAGCTGAGCTACTTTAAACCATGGAGGTTTTTAAGAAACGATTGAACAACCATTTATCGGAAATGGCAAAGGGTTTTCTGCTTGAACAAGGGGTTGGACTAGAAGACCTTCCAAACTCTGCTATTCTGTTATGTCCAATCTCTTAACAATTTTGAGGTTAGCAATACATATACAAATGTACAATGCATACATCTCCATCTTATCTAAAAGATTTTTCTGCCTAATACATTTTCCTCTTCTTAAACACCAACTAAACTTTTGCAAATGCAAACTTAAAAATATTTAACCTACACTGACTTCACCTTCTTACATAAGGATGAAAAACAAAGAACAGAGATAACTTTATTACATTGGAGAGCAGGCTGAGGACAGAAGTGTCAGCAAAAGGGGTCAAGGGACAGGGAAAGGACAAAATGAGTGTAACAACAACATTGTGCTTGTTTTCCTCCCCACCCCACCCAAAAAAACATTGTATTCTGCACATTGGATGCTTCTGCCTGAGTCCTATTAACTGGAGAATGGGGAAGCCTCTTCAGAGAGGGAACAAGTGACACACAGTTGCCCAGAATTCTCTAAAACTTGCATTTAAATGTCATGGAGAAGAGTAAATTGTCACTAGCATCTAAATCAGTTTCAGTTTTCAGTCCAGATTGATTCCCAGTTAATGTCTAACCTTTGATCAGGCAGCAAAGGATTTGGAGATGAACTGTATTAAAAGATAAATCCATATGAAAAAAAGTTGGCATTGCATATTTTATTGGGAGAGCTGGACACACAGATTTATATCTTGTTCTGAGAATCAGGATGTAACCTTTAGCTTAACATCTGTAATATAAGTTGCTGAGTTAGCGTCTCTACTCTGAGTTAGTCAGGAGACCGTAACACTACTGTGCTGATTTCAGTATCTTTGTGCTGTGATTTCTAAATCCTTAAAAATGAACTACTTAAAAAGGGAACAGAAAGCTAAAGTTTAATACAAAACAAACATAAATAATATTTTATGGAAAATGTAACATATTTAAATAGCTCAGTGTGATAATCTCTGTGCAGATATTCATACCATGTGGATGAATGTACAATGTATCTTCTGTGCTATATTTTTGGATTAGAAAAGTAACTTTAAGATAAATTAAGTCATCTGGGGTAGAGAAATGAACGTTTTAAAAAAGTGTTATCTTTTGATTTTTCCTGCTTACCCAGAAAACCTCATTTCTATAGCATAGCTGTTGTTTCTCTGTTGTACAACACATTTAGCACAATGCTGAGGGTGGCCAGAGATGAAGAGTTTTGGAGGAAGATTCCCAGCTACGCAACATCTCCAGGTTCAACTGACTTAGTGTTATTTGAAAAGCACAACACCAAAACACATCTGGAAGTGAACAGTGACTTACATCCTTATCATCTTGTGACTGGATTACTTCATTATGATATACACGGGGCTGCCTTTGAAGATAGTTTGGAAGCCACAGCTGGAACAGAATAGGCCAGTGATGGCGAACCTTTTTGTAAAGGCATGCCCAAATTGTGTGTGCACTAATGCACGTGCATGCCCACAGCCACAATTCAATGCGTCCCACCCACCTGCACATGCACGTGCAATGATCACCCCGCACATGTGTGCATGACACACATACACGTGCGGGGAGAGGGGAGGGTATTCATCCTCCCCAGGTTCCGGAGGCTTTCCTGAAGCCTGGGGACGGACTTCCCTGCCCCCCCCCCGAGACCCTCCAGAAGCCGGAAACGGATTGTTTCTGAACTTCCAATTGGCCTGTTTCTTGCCCTCTCCAGGCTCTGGAGGCTTTCCTGAAGCCCAGGGAGGGTGAAAATGGCCTCCCCCCGGCCCTCTGGAATGTGTGCCTGCAAATATGCCTCCATGTGCCATCTGTAGCATGTGTGCCATAGGTTCGCCATCATGGGAATAGGCCATCCAGGCTACTAAAGGAAGAAATTCATTGTTGCAGAATTTTCCTGCAATACCATAAAAGGGCTGAGGTGGACCATGATGAATTTTAGGTGCAATATAGGACAGTTATCTCATCTTTCGACTGCGATCACAATGGAAAAGAGATTCATTTCTGTTTATATAGTTAAAGGAGAGGTCAGCACCAATCTGAATGTGATTACTGTAATACAAAACAATTCCCCATAAAATCTAAATAAAATGAGAGAAATTAAGCTATCATTCACCATGATATCCTCTATGATGGCTAAGAGATACATGTAGCCCTTGATTTATGACTAATCATTTAGCGACAATTCAAAGTTATATAGCACAGAAAAAAGTGACTTATGACCAGTCCTCACACTTACGACCATCACAGCATCCCTATGATCATGTGATAGCGATTTGGGAACTGGACAACCAGCGCATATTTATGATGGTTGCAGTTTCTCAGAACATATATCCCCATTTGTAATCTTCCCAGGCAGTTTATGACAAGCATGGTCAATGAGGGTAGCTGGATTCACTTAGTAACTATGGTGATTTGCTTAACGACCATAGCAAAAAAGCTTGTGGAATTGGGCATTGCACTGTGATATCTCATTTAATGACTACATCGCTTAGTGATGGAAGTTCCAGTCCCACTTGTGATTGTAAATCAAGGTCTACCTGTATGGGTGAGGAATTTGCTTCAGGAAATATATAAACCAGGTAGAGGGAACTTGTATGACCAATCTAATTCAAAGGACTTTTTTAAAAAAAGTACTTAGGCCAGCATGTATATGAAATTACTTTTTCCAGCATCAATAAGACTGATTTTTCAATGGTAGGAATCGGCTACAATAATTAAGAGACAAAAACCCTTCAGCACATAATAAATTTAAGATCTTGCCAATTTGTGGTAGCAGGCAAGCCTCCTGGATGGTACTAAACAATTATAGATAGTCCTCAGGTTACTTGTTCAGCAACCATTCAAAATGATGATGGTATTGAAGGAGGGGGAATTACGACTGATCCACAAAATTGCAGCTATCGCAGTATCCCCACAGTAACATGACCATGATCTGGCCACCTGATTGCCATTTGCACTCTTATCTGCTAGGTTCTCACAACCAAAGTCAATGGGAGGGAAATGTTCAAGTCACTTCTCACTCTCTACTATAAGCTTCTAGTCAGCCTCCTCATACTTCCCAGCATCCCCCACCTCCCACTAGCCCTTCCCGACCCACCGGTGGACTCCACTGGACTGCCTGCTAGCACCTGACTCCTCTATACCCTCCCCACGATTTTCATCTGGAACTCCTATCTCTTCCTGCTTAATGACCCAGGTGTTGGGGTTATCATGGCAACCAGAACTGCTGGGATTGCTGTCCTTAAAGAATGCCGTCAGTGTTGTGTTTTACAACCACATCCCTTATGGACAGCAATTCTAGTCCAAATTGCCATGGAGTAACTGTAATTAGGTCAAAGAGCTGAGCTTCTTAGCTTGCAATTAGGACTTCTTAGGGAAGAATTACACCAATGAGAAAAACTGTTCAGGAAGAGATACTTAAGAAGCTGCACAACATTTGATGTTAAGGCCATGCCTGCTGGATAGAGATAAGAGAACAAAAAAAGATGATGTCCTTCTTTTGTAGGAAGTCTGATTACCCCATATAAGAGCTATCTGTTCTTTTCAAGGTATCTTGCTCTGTGTGGAAAGAGGATCTCAGAGAGAGAATCAAAAAGGAGGCAACTAGAAAGAGAGAAAATGGATAGTTTATGTTCTTGACACAATTTCTGATTGATCATTTCCTTTTATATCACACAGCATGAGACACAAAAAATAAGAAAGCATGTAAAGCTTTCTTTCAGATGTGGATCATGTAAAGTGATCCACATCTAATTGCTTCTTGGATTTTTGGCTAAGATCAAGTGCAGGGGAAAAAGATCTCTGGATCTTTGATTTTGAAAAGCTGTAGCTAATGACAGAAGGCATAATTAGATGGTTATAATCTGATTCTTGAGAAAACAGCTTGTATTCATGATATTTCTTATGCCACCTAAAAGGCTGATGGTTGCCCAAGTTTTTTTTTAAAAAATCCTTTCTTTGGGATATTCAGTGTTGACTATTTAATCAATATTAATTCATACTTACAGATCGTTCTGATGTTTGCCATACATAAGAGATCCTGTAGCTCTGAAGTTTGCCATTCATCTGTGAAGCAGGAGGCTTAATCCATTTGACCATTACTGAAGAACTGGATTCATTTATAGAGATTGTGACATTCAAAGGTGGAGCAGATGGAGCTTAAGAACAGAATACAGATACAAAAAAACCCTAATTAATCTTTTGGGTGGAAACAGGAAAAAAAACCCCAGAAATAAAACAATATTTATTGTCTTGGTTCTCTAGACCAAGAGAGGGGAATGACATCCTTGCTGGGATTGACAGGAATTCAAATTTTAGCAGGCTGCCTTTTACAAATAAGGTATTTTCCTACATCCCTTTCTATATGTTCAATCCTTCCTAAATTATAGTTCTATGAATAATAGGAGAATCACAACATATATTTTCATTAAGAACAATTTGTACTAATGATCGGGGGAATGGAGTATGTATCATTCAAAACGAAAAGGAAGTAAAAGGCAAAATAATTACTTGTAGGTCATTATCTTGCTGACTCCATAGTTTTGTAGGTGCTTTCCATTTTATAAACTTTTTTTAAAAGAGTCATATATGCTACTTGCAGAATATAGTGTGCAGATATTCATATATTAACAAAATGGCACAGGCATGGGAATAAGAGGGCTCATTGCTTATTGCCAGTGATCTCATTGGCATGAGCCACCAATTGTAATCAAATGTAAAAATGTGGATAGGAAGGAGGATACTGTTCTATAGAACAAAGTGCCTCTGAGCATTCAATGAGCCCAGGGATTTGTTTGTACAGATTGGAATATGCATCTGTCTCATTTCATACCACATTTATTTTTGTTTGCCCCTACCGTTATCTCAGTAAATTTCAGGAAGAAAGGGGCCTACTCTTAAACCAGAAATCAGAAATTTTAGCTGACCTACGACAAATATCCTGGAAAATGATCCTTCATTCCTCTGTCCATTACCATCATGCTGTCTTGTTGATATATCTTACCTCCTTCAGTTGTACTGGCCGTAATCCAAGGGCTGAGACTTGACCATCCTATTTCATTCTTACAAGAAACACCGATGTTGTAATCCTTAATGGCTGATAGATTCTGAATAAGATACTGATGCGGTGGTATAGAAGTGTTAAAAATCATCATAGAAGTGTTACTTGGTACATCAACTTCTTTTACCTAGTTTAAAAAATGTTAAACAAATACGTTAAGGAAGGAGTGCTCTGAAAGTATCTCTTCAATTATCCATGCTTAATTTTCAGTGTTAAGAAGGTGCTGAGGAGTCCTTCTTTTCCAGGGCTCATTGAAATCATTTTGATGACAAAAAGTAGCAAAGTGTACTCCTCTATGATGAGCACTGGATGAACTGAAAGAATGACCTAGACCAGGGGTGTCAAACTCGTGTCATCACAGCAGCGTCACGTGACGTATTGAGACTTTTTCCCCTTCGCCAAACTGGGTGGGGCCAGGGCCAGCATGTGACGCATCTGGCCCGCGGGCCGCAAGTTTGACACTCTGACCTAGACCTATCTGGAATGCTGCCATGATGTAGAACTCAGCCAGTAAATGAAAGTAATGCTGTTAACAATCTAAGCTTTGCTTATTTTTACAAAAGCTGATTAGAACTAAAGTCAAAAAGACTAGGATGGGATTAGGTTGAATGAAATTGTTTTGAAAGAAAAGTTCTAAGTAGCCCAAAATGTTCATATATTTAGGTTCTCTATGATTCCCCCAAAGTCATTGCCTTTTACTTGCTGCTGTACTCCATTTGGCAATTTGTTTCATATTATTATAATGTAAGGGAAGCCATTCTCTCAGAAGACACATCAAGGCCAGCAGGGATAGCATAGTCAGTGAGGCAAGGTCATATAATTGTTTAGTCAGATTTGACTATAGAGATCATCAGAGAGCCAAAGGATGGCACTGACTTGTACTTCCCCTTGCAGTGGAAATCAGCTTTGCTCCCTTTTATAGGCATTTCAATGTCTCAATGAATAAGGGACGATACATTTCACATGATTCCCAATCCTATTCCTGAGAACACACACACACACACATGCATTTAAGCATGCATAAAAATAGGTACCGTTTCAATTCAGTCTCTTTTCAGCCTTTGCAGCATTCAATAAATAATAGCATTAAATACTATTGTACCCTCTGTAAAGAAAAGCATAAAAGGCATTCAACAGTGCTATGAAATGCTTTGGCAAGTAAATGGAGAGGGAATTATAACCAGCTGTTCTTATTTTTGGATTGTTTCATTTCTAAGAGTCATAAATATACCTCTGGCTTTTAATTTCCCCCAAGTAGTAAAAAAAGGAGATGGAAGACATTACTTGATTTAAACATAACAACTAAACCATGATACCTTTTAAAACATANGAGTTTTCCATTTGTCAAGAAACAATCACAAAAGAAATAAGGAGCAATGGCCTTATGGCTCTAGTCCAAACTATTCAAATGTAGTATTCAGATGTTTTTGACCAGGTGTGTCAAACTCAAGGCCCAAGAGACTGGGTGCTTAAATCTGGCCCGTGGGACTGACTTGGAAATAGCAAAGGACCGGCCTGCGGTTCCTCTAACAGCCAAATCGGGTGCGGGGGAGATGCTAGCAAAGTGCTGCAGGAGGCCACCCAGGCCAAAAATGGGACACAGGGGGACCATGTGACTCCTGTACCCCGTTTTGGCCAGCAGAGTGTTGTAGGAAGCTGTCCAGGCTGAAAATGAGGTGTGCCCCATTTTGGCCAGCAAACTGATGCAGGCCATCCACATCAAAAAGGGAGTGGGGGCCATGCACAGGCCCCTCATGCCCTGTTCTGGCTGACAGGGTGCTGCAGGAGGCATCCATCCCATCCTGTCCCATCCCCTGGCCAGTCCACGAAGAACTACAGTCCTGATCCAGCTCTCAAAGAAATCCAATTTGACACTCCTGTTTTACACTTTTCTCACAGTACAACTAACATCAAGAGATTGGAGATACTTTTCAGCTAATAACCAGTATTACAGTAGGAAGCCATTGAACAATATAGTGAACTAGACTGCTAACTAGCTAATTCAACTAATCAGCAGCAGTCCAGGCTTTCAGATAAATCTTTTTCTCAGCCATATTTGAAGACACTAAGGATTTTTTCACTTTACTATTACTTTTCTTCATTTATCTTTAACTTAAAGATTGTATTGTTTTTACTCTGTATTAATAAAAATTATATATGAGAATTTTTTTAAAAAAAACACAGCAAATATCCCAAAGTGATAAGTCCTAAAACAAAAACCTAACTCAGATTCCAAAAGGATGTATCTGGAGTTAAAAGCTCAGTTATATATTACTCAGAAATATGTGTAATCAAACCCCCGAAGTAATTTGAGCATCACGATGTAAGATTATATTGTTGATCTAATTGGATCCTATATATATAACAATTGTTTTCTTTGCCACAGGGTGCACAAAATGTTCTTTTCTAAAAGCTCATAATTTCTGAGTACACTAGGGAATCTGATTTGTCAATTATTACCACTATTACAGTGTAAAAGCTATAATATTGGATGAACCATAACCATTCTAATCTCCTTTAATACCTCTAGTGTACTGGGTGACCCTGGAGAGGTAGTCTCTCTCAAAAAAAGAAATGTTATAAAGGTAAGATATTTCTTTGCACAGCTCTATAAGGGCAGAGAGAGATTAGAACAGTAACAAATACAAATACCTGCTGTGTTTTTACATTGTCAGAATTGTTCTTCTTTCTGCTTCCTTTCAGGCAAAATATACAAGCAATATCTTCTCCCTTTATCATTTATGAACTATAATCAAACTTGGGTTATCCAGACTGTAGGCCCAGTGAAATTATGGAATTGGTTTCTATGAGTCTGCAGCGCTGCAACTGAGATTAAATCTGGCCTAACCCTAAAGCTGTAATCCTGGGCAATCTATAATTAGATTAAGTTCACAAGAAGCCAATGGAATTCAAGGACTTAAGTTAAGCAGCCCTCTCTTCCAGGAATGTCACAAATAAGAACAATTACTGTGAAGCCAGAAGTTTCAGAGAAGCCAAAAGAAAAAAGTCTCCCACTTTTCAGTAGAAATAAAAATGATTGGGTAGCACTCATTTACACAGAAGCCCACAGTTCTTGACATGGCTAGACTGTGTACAAAAATGTACACAGCACTGCTGTGAGATATTTAATTGTTAAGTGGCCACTGCCTAAGGTTATGCAACATTAGATTATGTTTCCCCCTCCCCTTGATGATTACAGGAATCCTGTAGAATAGATAGAATACAAAAGCAGAATGGATAGATGTTCAAAAAGTTCATTAATTCATTTGTCGAAGAGCTTATACAGCAAATAATCCAGTAATCAGAATGTGGAATGCAGTTAAAACCAGCCTAATGAACACAATAGCAGTGGGAAAAAGGCAGGGCATTTGGAAGCCAGCATAAACAACATGCCCCCACAGACAATGTGGTTTTAAAAAAAATCTGGCAAGAAGCAAAAGCATTTAAAGGGGAAGAAGAAAATAGGATCTCTTGAATGGGGCACAGTTTCCAAAAAATACAGAGACTTCGCAAAAGTTGACACCTTCCATCCTATGCAAATGCTTGTTGGGAGTAGACAGGATGAGAAGAGAGATGGATCAACATCACAATAGCTGCCCTGGCTTCATTTTCATGGATTCAACCATGATGTTCACAAGAATCCACATCTAGAGGGCCAGCATTTGAAGGCCTTCAATTTCATTGGAGGGAGAGGGATCCCTACAGACCTGTCCTCTTTAATAGCAGCAAAAAGCTACATCTGTTCATATCTTGCCAAGGACTGCTTGATTGTTGGTCTG